AGAATGAAGATCAAATAAGATATTTTCAGACAAGCAAAATTTGAAAGTATGCATCCAGTAAACTTTTGCTTAAAAAGTCTAAAGTATGAGGGGTCAGGGATTTAGCCCAGCAGTGTAAATGCCTGCTTGGCAAGGGTATGGCTGTAAGTTTGATCTCTGGTACCACAAAAAAATAGTCTGAAGTATTACTTTTAAGCAGAAGGGAAGTACAGTATTCCTTCACTTGTCCAAAGTTTTGCTTTCCTTTGGTTTCAGTTACCCATGGTCTCAGCTATCCACTGTCAACCATCAGGTCTGCTAACATATGAGGAATTGGAAGAACTTGAATCATCTACAGATGAAGAGGAAGGTGAAAAGTAAAATACTGAGCCACATATGGTGGCACATTTCTGTGCTCCTAGATATTTAGGAGGCTGATGCAGGAGGGTTGCAAGTTCAAGGCCATCCTAGAAAATATGAGATCCTATCTCAAAACAGGAAGGAAAGAAGGGAAGGAAGAAGAAAAAAAGAGAAGGAAAAAGGGAAGGAGGAGGGAGGGGGAAAGGTAGAGACAGAAGAGAGGGAGAGGGAGGGGGAAGGGAGGGGAAAAAGGAAGAACAAGAAGAGAGGAAGAAGGAGAAAAGGAGGAAGAGGAGAAAAAGAAGTTATGAGCAGAACCAGCAATGAAAAAATATTATCAAAACTTTCCAAAATGCCTCAAATTATAACAGCATTAAATGACAAAATTATGTGGAGCACAGCATTAAAGCCACCCAAACGATCACTGAAGTATTAACCTCTCCAGCAGCACTTTGATGAGATAAAAAGGGACAACAAGGGCCAGGGATTTAGCACTTGCCTGATAAGTGCCAGGTCATGAGTTTGATCCCCAGTACCAAGAGAAACAAAAAGGGACAACAATTTCTGATTACAATGTTCTTCCAAAGATTTCAGCGGAAATTATCCACCTCCCGACAGCATCAGATGGTAAACTAGCGCACAGCATGATGCCTATGTGATTCACCTCACTTCATCTCGTCACACAGGCATCATGTCGGGTCACACTGGCACAGAAAAGTGAGTATGGGAGGGTATTTTGCGACACAACATTCACATAACTTTATTATAGCATATTATTACAATTGTTCTATTTTATTATTAGTTATTGTTGCTGATCTCTTATTGGACTTAATTTATCAGTTAAAGCATATCATACATATAGGAAAAAACAATACGACTGCCTCTTCATATCAGCAGGTTCTGCATCCAAGGATTTAACCAAGTGAGGATTGAAAATATTCTGAAAAAAATTACATCTGCACTGATTTTTTAATTTTTTATTTAGTTTTTTGTACCAAGGATTGAACTCACGACCTTGCATTTGCCAGGCAGGTGCTTACACCACTGAGCTAAATCCCCAGCCCTCTGCATCTAAACTGATTATGTACAAACTATTTTTCTTATTAGTAGTATAACAATCATTTACATAATGTTTACATGGGATGGACATTATAAGTAGCCAAAATATGACTTAAAATACATAAGAAGATGTTCATAGGTTATATGTAAATACTATGCCATTATATATAAGGGACTCGAGCACCCACAGATTTTGGTATTCACAGGGGCGTCCTACAACCAATGACCCACGGATACAAAGAAAGAACTGTATATACGGGGTCGGACAATCTGCAATTTCAAGCATCTACTGGGCTCTGGAAACATATTCCCCACAGGTAAAAGGGGCCTACTGTAAACCCATGTGGAAGGTTGATATGTAAAACCCAAATAGAGCAAATCAAGTTGGAAATCAGAAAGTAAATTGTATAAGCATTCTATGTAACATAATAATAGTATCAAATGGGATTTTAAAAAACAGTAACAATAACATGGTTCAGCAGGGAGTAAATGGAGCTACTATCCAGAAGATTAAAGGCATTGATTAAGTGTAGATTATATATGGTGTAATTTTTAGATCAATCATAAAATAACAGAAGTATGGAACTTGCAAACTACTAAAGAGAAAAAATAGAATAAAAATACTTTAAAAATTGAAGATAAAAGAAACAGAACAAGTGGAGATAAATAGAAAGTTTTTAAAAAAAAAACAAGATGTAAGCTTAAAATTAATATACCCAGAACTATTAAATGCAATGGGTTAAGCCAGAGATTTAGCTTAGTGGTTCAAGCGCTTGCCTGGTAGGCACAAGATCATGAGTTTGATCCCTAGTACCAAAAAAAAAAAGAGAAAAAAAGACATTAATAGATAAAAGACAGTCCTTTTATCTCAGTACAAAAATTCAATGCACCAGGAAAATAAAATGCTTCAAAACTATATTCACCTAATACCCAGGCTTTATACAAGCTAGACAAGTACTTTATTACCAAGGTATATCCCTTGGTCAAGACAGTCTCAAAATGTATAAAGCAAAACTATAAAAACAATAGAAAATGAATCCACAATGGTTATTCAAAGACAATTAAATCTTTCAGTAACTGATAGAATTATAATCAAACTAGAAATCAATAAAATAACTATAATTTTCCCATATAGTTTGAAATTTACAAACATACTTCTAATAGAAACTAGAAAATATTTTAAGTGGAATAAAAATGGTAATATTATGTATCTAAATTTAAGGGCTACAGAAACTCGGCATTGGTGGCACATGCCTATAATCCCAGAATTTAGGAGGCTGAGGAGGATCATAGGGAGTTTAAAACCAGCCTGGGCTACAAAGTGAGCTCAAGGAAAGCCCAAACTGCATAGCAAGATCCTGTCTCAAAAAGACAAACAGAAAGAAAGAAAGAAAGAAAGAAAGAAAGAAAGAAAGAAAGAAAGAGACGGAGAGAGAGAGAAAAGAAAGAAAGAAAGAAAGAAAGAAAGAAAGAAAGAAAGAAAGAAAGAAAGAAAGAAAGAAAGAAAGGAATTTTAGGGCTACAATTGAGAAACACTTTAAGGAAAATTTAGAGCCTTAAATACTGTATTACAGAAGCAAAAAGCTGAAAATTAATGAATTAATTTTATTGAGATATCTCAATAAAATAGAAGCAAAAAGTTCAGCAAAAAACCTCCCAAACTAAAACATTAAATAATAAACAGACACTCTGCAACCAAACCAACCTCTGGTAAAACTTACCCAAAAAAAAAGGAAAGAAAGAAAAGCATAAGTAACACTAAGAAAATGGGAATAATACTACAGAATTTATTGATCCTGCAAACACGATCCTTAGGAATAGTTTGTGCCCCAAAACTTGAAAATTTAGACAAAATGGACAAACACTCTGAAAAACACTATGTAATAAAATGATTTAAAAAACATAAAACTGAACTAGTCCTGTATGTACTAAAAAAACTGTGTAAGTAATCAAAATTCTTTGCACCAAAAGATTTCATGACAAACAACCAGACTTCAAAACAATTATTAAAGTAATTAATGAGAGAAAAAAAGAACCTACAAAGTAACTGAGGTTAAAAGATATCAACCAGCCAGGTGTGGTGGCACCTGCTTGTCATTCCAATACTGGGAGGCTGAGGTTAGAGGAACACAAGTTCAAGCCCCAGGTGGGCAAGATCTTATCTTGAAATAAATAAGGGACGGTGGATGTATCTCAGTGCAAAAACCTTGGATTCAATCACCAGTATCAAAAAAGCAAATAAATAAAAAGATATCAATCACATGCAATATATAGACTGTGTTTGGATCTTACTCCAAACAAGACTAACTGAAAAAAATCAATTACTAAAATTACAATACAAACTGAGTGAATATATGATGATATTAACAACTTATTAATTTTTAGATATGGTAATATTTTTAGATACACTAGGTAAAAGAGTAAAACTTACCTTTATTTACAGATAATAAATAATATTTTACAGGTAAAATATGTCTGGTTTTGTTTCAAAATAATTCAGGTTGGGAGGAAAAAGGAGTATAGTTGAAATAAGATACATCCAGGGGCTGGGGATTTAGCTCAGCAGCATAAGCACCTGCCTTGCAAGCAGGCGGTTGTGAGTTCAATCCCCAGTACCGATTAAAAAAAAAAAAAAAGACAATAAGATACATCCAAAAATTGGGGAACAAAGGTAAAAGAGAAATGAAAGAAGGGAAAAGTAAAACAAAATGAGAAAAGAAGGAAAACATGGGAACAAAGCTTTTGTAAATGGGGAGGGGAGATGGCATTAAAGAGAGGGTGGTGGAATGGGAAAAAGACAGGTTATATCATATACAGGACAAATTCTCTATGATGAGTGTGATCACTATGTATACCTAAAATGTACCAATAAAATCTGATTAAAAAATAAACATTGATAAAGAAAAGCAACCCATACATGGGAGTTCCCTACTTTGATCCTCTTTATATTTACACATGTTTAGGATCTTCCATAACAGAAAGTTTAAAATCAGTTAAATTCTAATCAACAGGAAACACACCCTGGCCTTTCTTACTCTCTGACCTTATCTACTACTTTTTCTACCCACGTGTGCTTCAGGTGGACACAGTGGAACCCCAACCACACTTCTGCCTCAGAACCTTTCCAACTGGTAACCCCTCGGCTTAGAACCTCTTACTCCAGGCTTACACATGAGTAGATCCTTTACTTCTTCAGAGATCTCTTAGCTTTATAGTTTTGTTTCTTATCAGAATGGCCTTCCCTAAACATTATAAAATCATATATTATTAATTTATCATCACAATTTCATTTGATTTTTTTTTTTTTTTTTTTTTTTTTGGTACCAGGGATAGAACTCATGACCTTGTGCTTGCCAGGCAGGCATTTATGCCACTGAGCTAAATCCCTGGCCCCTACTAATTTATTATCTAGTCCATTTAGGAATATAAGCCTTTTGCAGAAAGAAATTATTTTGTTTACTTTTCATTCCAGCTTCCATGATAAATACCCATTAACCAGAGATTTACATTAAATCAAAATAACTAAAGAAATTAATGAAAAAGCAGGTAAAGAAAACTAAATATTCTAGGACCTATGTATTATCAAAATTTATGCAATTTACTGTGTATCTGTTTCTGATTTATGCTTCATCTCTATGATTTCCACCATAAAAAGATCAATAGGATAACCTGGTCTTCTAACTGCCAAAACTGAATCCACCACAGCCTGAAAAAGAAGTGAGTAAAAATAGTATATTAGTTGGCCCAAGAAATCAACACCAGACTAAAAACAAGTAAAGGGCTTCAGCATAAGGCAAAGCCAATAAAGGCCACTTTATTATGGACTCTAATAAATAATATTATGGACTCTAATAAAAAACAGTGAATATTTTATAATCTAACTTCTGAATTATCAAACCCTTTATTTTAAAGAAAAAACTGAAATCAGATCTTAGGAAATTAGTTAGGATTTTAAAATCAGAAATAACAGTAGCAGAGTAAGGAGGAGAATTCAGTCTCTTTAACTGCAAGTCACTATGCTATCCAAACTCTGCCATGAAAGAACACCATCAATGCAAAGAGAGCAAATGTAATCCAAGAGCAGAGCTCAAATTTGCTGGTCACAATACAATTCTCATATTTTTTCATGAAAAGTTTCCACGTCATGCCACAACATATACATGCCAGTTTCACTGTATTTGTTTACTCCAAAACTGTAAAGTAAAAATGACACCCCAGAAAGATATGTCCCATTTATTCTGCCCCATATCTCCAGGGATCTGCAATTTAAGAAGCAAGAACACCCACATCTTACTGGTTAGCTTGAAAGAGAATATGAAAATAACTGATCACAGAAATTAAAGAGCTGAAGTACAATGACCCTAAAATATAAATAAAGCAAGAAAAAAATTCACTGTATGTGTAAAAAATTTACCTAAGGTAACATATTATTAATAGTGGAGTTTATTAGGGAATAAGGTAAAGGCCAGTGGGTAGTGAGATTATCAGTGCTTTTAAACCTCTAAAAGAAAAGAGCTGGCTGGGGATTTGGTTCAGTGGTGTAAGAGTCTGCCTGGCAAGCGCAAGGCCATGAGTTTGATCCCAAAATTAAATGAATAGATAAATAAATATAAAAAAAGAAAAAGAAAATAGTTGCCCTAATTAGACAGCATGAAGATCCTGGGCCACCTGAATACTTCAACAGCAGAAAACACAGCAAGCCTTTCTTCTGACTGCTCAGCAAGAAACTGTCTGATATAAATCTCATTTCCCAGGAAGGGTCTTCTGTTGGTAAGAAGTGAGCAGAAACAACTCAGGGGTTCCAGTCCATTTGGCATGTGTATTTCTCAAGTAAATGAATAACATTCATTTGTATGTCAGTGTCTTATGCATGTGGTTGCTATGAATCTATCATTTCTGATAAAGCAATACGTTCAATTTTCAGAAACTGCAAAGTTGAGAAGCAAGAATGACATCACCAATGACAACAACCTGATAAAAATCTTTCTTAAAATATCCATCCAAGTGGCTAGGGATTTAGCTCAGTGGTATAAGCGCCTGCCTTGCAAGCACGGAGTCATGAATTTGATCCCCAGTACCAAAAACAAAAATATATATATATATATCCAAAAAAATCACCCAGTCTTGTCTTTATATTACATTTACTTTAACTTCAGAAGTAAACAAAACAAATATGCATTTCTTAAATGTGAACACTATAATGTCAAATTAATCATGTTTCATTAAACCAGTAACCTACTGTCAAATAACTTCCTCATGCACTACCTCATCTGAAAAAATACGGACTGCTGGGTTCCGATGAGTGTAATACCCAAGAACTTCCACAGGAGACAACTCCCAGGAGCCATGCCTCTCTGAACCCTCAAGTCACTATGTGTTAATGTGACACTGTTGAAGAATTACAAACACTATTTTAACCAATCAGATCTTCACCTAGACATAAGACTATAAATGTTTGTCTTATTTTGTTTTTACATTCAAAAGAACCACATGCAGTACTTCTTGGCTATCTGATAGGAAAACTTAAAATATCATCATGTGTTAAGCTGTATTCATTCTGGATATAAAAGTTTTATCCATACCTCTACTAGCACATCAGCCAGTTCAGCATGAACTTTCGTCTGCAGAGATGTTCTGGCCACCTCTAAGAGGATCTCTCTTTTCATCTCCTTTTTTACTTTAACTTCTTCCAAAACCTCAAGTGCTTTTGTCTTTGCAGCTTCAAATCCTTCTGCTACTATTCTAGGGTGCAGGCCCTATTGAATCAACACAAAATTATAAACCATGGAGTAAATCACCCAAAGTAAAGATAATTATCTTTTCCTGTCTTAAAATCAAGGAATTCTTTTGTAAAACCACAGTGTGATTAACATTTGACATATTCATATAGTTCATTATCTAAACTGTAAATTTTAGGGGATCGAACTCACAACTGTGTGCTTCCAAAGTAGGCACTTAGGTCGCTGAGCTAAATCTCCAGCCTTTAACTGTAAATTTTATTTGAATGTCACCACTTGTTCCAATAGTGTCCTATGTTTTGTTTGATTATGTGTCTTTTCCTGTACTGGGATTAAATTCAGGGCTTTGCGCTGAATTTCATACCCTGCATGTCCAAAAAAGTAATGTTATCTACATTAATGTTACTAAATGTGAATATATGTATTTAATTTATAAAAGTTGTCTTTCAGAGCTTCTTATGTGAAATAAATCAAATAGAAAAGTTGCAGGTTGTTGTAGCTTGGCATAACTGACGCCATCTTGAGCCCTGCATTTAATTAGTGCCCTGGATTTGACCCAGGAATGGAAAATTACTCAGGATATGAGTCCCATGAGAAAAGCAGAATGAGTTGTATCCACAAGAGAAAAATTAACCTGCTCAACAAAAGAAACAGAATACAGGTGTCAACCAAAAATTAATGTAGGATTATAGGTAAACTGTTTCCAACAGGATGTCTTTTTGTGGTTCTCTGTTTAAAAGCTTTGTAATTTTCCAGTTCGCAACCACTCAGTAAGACTCTGAAATGTGTCCACACGAGTGATCATTGAGCTCAGCTAATTAAATTCCAAATTCATCAATTTGGCTGCTTGGATTCCTATATTGTTTAGAACCCACCTCACAGGTCTAGTACAAAAAAAACTACAAGTCTTTGTCTCTAAAAATTATGACGACATAGACATGTGGTGCACTGAATGGGCATAAAAGACTCCTTTCAATGCAAGAGGAAAGAAGCGGTGTTGATTTGGAGAAAAGTGGTAGACAGATGCCATCTTCAAGTAGTGATCAAAGTTAACATCACAGTAATAGGACAGAGAGCCAGCATGTGTCTCCTGATAGGATGCCTTGAGAAGAACAAAACAACACTTCTGTGGTGCTCCCGCCAAAAATCAAAAATTGAATCTAATTGTGAGAAAAGATGCTTCTGCCAAAAATCAAAAATTGAATGTAATTGTGAGAAAAGATACAAAGCCAATTAAGGGACTTTCTACAAAATAATTGGCCTATACTTCTTAAAAGTAGCAATGCCATGAAGCATAAAGGCAGCTTAGGAACTATTTGAGCTTACAAGAGACTAAAGGGACATGATAACTCAATGCAATTCATGATCCTAAATTTTCTGTTTTTGTAAAGAACACTATTAGCTGGGTAGAGTGATACACGTCTACAATCCCAGCTACTTGGAAGGCTGAGGCAAAAGGACTGCAAAATCAAGCCTAGGCCACTGAAACCATGTCTTAAAAAATAATAATGGTATATAGTTCTGTGCAAGGCTCTAGGTTTAATCCCCAGTATGGAAAAAGAAAAAAAAAGAATACTATTGGAACAAATGGTAATATTTGACTAAAATTTGCAGATAAGAGTATTATACCTCCGTGTAGTGGTAAACACTTGTAATCCTAGCAATCAGGAGGCAGGAGGATTGCCATGAGTTCAGGCCAGCCTGGACTATACAGTGAATTCAAGGTAATGCCCTGCCTCAGAAAAACAAAACTAAAGATAAGAGTGTTATATGAATATGTAAGCGTTAATATTTAGTATTAAGTTCATATTTTATATACTAACATAAATATATGGTTATATAATTCAGTGATTTAAAAATACACTGAAATATTTTGACAGTTTTTGTAACTTACACCATTCACAAAAGATATGTACATAATATATAATATATATTATCTATATATCAAAGAGAGAAGGGCTGAGGATTTAGCTCAGTGGCATAAGCGCCTGCCTTGCAAGCAGGCAGTCATGAGTTCGATCCCTGGTACCAATAAAAAGGAAAAAGACAAAAAAAAAAAAAAGAGAGAGAGAGAGAGAGAAAGGCAGGAAGTAAAAAATTACAGGAAATCTGAATTAAACATATATGATAATTCTTTGCAATAGTCTTACAAATTTTCTATAGACCTAAAACTGACAAAAATAAAATTTTAAAAATAGTATTGTTTATCCTGCAAAATATACAAACTTTGTGAAAGCTAGAACAAGAGGTATGAACAGCTATTTGGAAGAAAACCAGATACTATATAGCCAGTGCTGATTTAATATCATCTTGTTTTGAAGTCCTAATATACTTTTGTTCTTCTGTTTCCATTGGTTCTATCATGTGGTATCATACTGGATTTTATCATGTGTAGTAATATAAACAAATTTTTTATGAGCAATGAGATAATACAGTAACCATTGTTAGTTTTCTGTTATTTGGTTCTGAATGCCCTATAATTCTTTCATTCTCTTGAATGGTTTTATACTATTTTGTTATGTTTGATACTATTGTGTATGAAGGTATGCTCAACTATTTCAAGAAAAGAGACATTATGGTAGCTACTATTATATCAGGTTGTCTTGTGGTGAAATACTGAGTTGCTTAAATTGTTCTGATCTGCTTTGTTATGTCCTCTTTTATCTTAATCTCTTTAAAATAAAAAAAATAAACCTTTCCTTCCCTCAAAAAAAAAAAAAAAGCTAGCACAAGGGTCAATTAATTGTTTGCATTCCTTTATAGCATACCTAAAATGATACTGAAAAGTTGACATTAACTGAACATTTGTGTTAGGCACTATTCTAGAATAGAGTTTTACATGAATTATTTAATTTTATCCTCTCAGTGTTATAAAGTGAGTGTTATTATTCCTGCTTCATGCATGAGGAGCCCAAAATGTAAAGGGACAGTGTAATTTGCCTTAAATCAGCAAGTTAATTAAGAAGTGGAGGCAGGATTTCACCACACAATACCTAACTCCAGAGCCCATGCTATTATACTACCAAAAATTTCTTTATCTTAGACCTCAAGGTTGTTCCTAAAAACTACTAAAAGGACTTCTAGTTCTTTAAAAGTGCCTTCTAAGTCGGGCATGGCTGCAATCCCAGCACTCAGGAGGCGGAGGCAAGAGGACCACCCCAAGTTCAAGGGCAGTGCGGTCTACACAGAGTTCAAGCCTAGCCTGAACCACATAGCCTGGACCACATAACCACTCCATCTCAAAAACAAAATGTCCTCAAATCTTTAAAATGTTGATCTGACCACATTAATCTTTAATATGTTGATACGTCTAATCTGTTCACCACAGGATAAAGTGTAAATTTCTTGGCTACACACTCTGTGATCTGTCTCCCATCTGTTTCCCTAGCCTCTTCTCCACTACTGTCCACATCACTTTAAACCCCAGCAACATCAATCTGCTTACATTATAATAATTCTATGTTGCTCCAGCTTCTCGGAATGCGGTTATCTCCATCCTTCACTCTTTGACCTGGCTCACTCCACCCTAAAATTTTGCTCAAGTCTACTTCCATAGTGAGTACTTCTAACTGCCATAGACCATTTAAGGTATTTGTCCCTCCTCCAAGATTTCTATCATGTCCCATCCCAAGCTCTATCACTGAATAGCCAGAGAGTTTCATGATTACATCAGTTACTGTCAGTACCCCACTGTTCCCAAACTCCTCTCTTCCCAACCCAAACCTAATTTTGGGTGTCTCTTCCACCTGTGTTTCAGAGAAAAGTAAACAAATCCCCAACTAAAGGAATAAGAACCCATTAGTCTATATCAATTTTCCTAAAAATTGTTATTTGTTTAGGATGGGCATAAGACAGAAGGATGGCCAACCATGCTATAGAAAGGATTTATGTTCCATAGGGGGATGAATGGTTTTACCACCTTACCCTGTTGAATATTATCAAAGGAAGCAAGTAGCACTGATTTTCTCTGACAAAATTAACATTCAAGAGGATGAATTAACATTAGGATGAAACACTATTTTGAATATTCAGAGCTAAGAGACAGAAGGGGCCTGGGTACTTTATAACTCACTGAACTTTTTAATTAACTAACCCTAGATCTTGCCTAACATTCCACTATGAGAGATAGTATTTCCCTTATAGTTTAATTGTGTTTTAGTCAAATTTCTACTGCTTACAGCCAAAAGCATTCTAATCCAGATAAATTGTTGGTATTGAATGAACAGACATATTAAATGAAACACAAAGAAATAATATTTTAGTATTTTGATCAGGTTATGCTTTGCTGAAATGGCCCCTGAAAAAGAAGAAAATTTCAAATAATTATAGGAGATAGGAATGCCAAGAAAAGAATACACACTGAACAAAACACAAAATGTAAAGGGACAGTGTAAATGTGCTTGATAATTTCGGAGTCTGGTGAGTGAAAGACTCTGGCTAGACTGGGTGATTTATAAATGAAAATACAACCGAAAAGGTAGGTAAATTCTCAATGTGCAAAATATTCAATAATTTTTCTCTAGTTTTCTAGAGAATAAGTTTTCTCTAGTTACTAGTAATTTTGTTTCAACTTTTTCAATGACATTTTGTAATTTTTACTTTTCAATATATCTTAAATATTTCATTTTTAAAAGTCTATAATTCTAATAAAAAGTACTGTTTTGGTCAAAAAAAAGTTCACTATTATTTCTATTTATAATTCTCCAAGAATGATTAAAATTTACCTATACCCTCTTAAAATTAAATCGACAGTATAATTTTTGTTTTTTAAAATTCACAATAATGAATTTTGTGTGGATTCTGTGAAATTTTAATACCTCAGAAATGTAAAGATCGGCTTGTTTTAATAACTCTCCAATAATTAGAACATTTGAAGTGGTACCATCTCCTGTAATGTCATCTTGGGCAGTTGCTACTTTTGCTATCAAGGAAGCTGTTGGATGTTGAATTTGCTGAAAAAGTAAACAACAGATTTAAAGTGAGAAGAATGAGGTGGTTTTTTTTTTTTTAATGCCACACAAAACAAGATAACCTAAGGGTCAATTGTAAAAATAAAAATAAACTTCACTGTACAGGTTTACAAGTTTTACATTATCAGTACTTAATAAATGTCAAGTCCAAAACTTAAAAATTAAAAACTAATGAGGTATGAATATTTCATAAGTCTTTGTTCAGATGCAATGACATTTGCAGAAGATTAAATCTTTCAATCTGAAAGATGAATCCATTTATGAAAACTGCTAATTTTTTATTTTTTCACAATTACAAAGAATATAATTCCATGTCTTTAAAAGACATTATTAAGCTATTACTTGGACTATACAAACATTTGAAAATAGCCAAAAACCATTTTTATCAATGTTTACTCAAAGAAGCCTATCACAAGACTGCAGTAATTAGCTGACAGCCTTGGCTTAAAGATACACAAATTGCTCCGTGTTCTTAAGTAAGGCTTACTTAAAGTTCATTAAAGTCAGCGGCATTAGCTTACCATCTCATGGAGCAGCACGTTGCCATCTTTGGTGAGTTTTATGTCCCCAGCACCAGAAACAAGCCTGCTCAGAGAACAGCAATGTTAATAACTTCATATGGCAAGTCCCAAACAAGACACTCCACTCCTTCAAATAGGAAGCGAGGCTTGGAAAATACCCATCATGTAATGGGGAGATATTATGGTAATTCCCACCACGTGCAGCTCTCAGAATCACTTCTACTCAGATGGACTTACAGTGATATGTAGCCTTGCTGGGTTTAAAAAGCAGTTATGAACACTGGTCAATGAAAAATGAGAATATAAAACACAAATTTGCAAATTTCCCGATTTTTTTTTATAAATGTTACCAATCATTCAGTCACTCAACTTAGTTCCCCTCATTGCTCGTATTTAATTATGTTACCAAGGTCTGTTAGTTCCACAACCTAAATTTCTATATTAATCCCTTCTACTTCCACTGTCATTAGCATCTCTAAGACAGCATCCCAGATATCTCTGGATTTGAATCTACCTTCACAGTACATTTCTCTTCTTTTTTTTCTTTTTAACTTTTTTTAAACTTTAACTTTTTATCGGTACCACGGATCAAACTCAGGACAGCCTGCTTGCAAGGCAGGTGCTTATGTCACTGAGCTAAATCCCCAGCCCCCATTTCTCTTTCTAAAAGGCTATGCAACCTGGGTATGGTGGTGCACCTCAGTAATCACAGCATTCAGGAGGCTGACAGGAGGTCAGCTGGGACCCTGTTTCCAAAACCAACAAAAATGCACTGGGACTCATTCCCCTGAACAAAAATCCTTAAGAGGTAATCTTAGGTTGTCAATTGCTTTTGAAGTTAAAATCTAAATTAATTTAACAATGCCACACTACACCTTTACCATTCTAGCCTATGTGTATCTTTGCTGCCTCACCTACTACCTTCCCACAAGCTAGCCTTTCAGTTCCCTTAATGCAGCATGGTTCTGTCCCACTTCCCTCCTTGGGATTTGTAACACTGGACTTTCTTATTTCTGAAATTAGGAGGCCAGGTGTGGTGATGCAGACCACTCAGGAGGTTGAGGATTGCAGTAACTTTGAGGTCAGCCTGGGTTACACATTGAGTTTAAGGCCAACCTGGACTACAATAGTAAGACCCCATCTTAAAAAAAGAAAAAAGAAAAAAAAATCCTAGAAATTAGTTAGGTGACCCCCATGTTTTAGTTTTGGTTTTTTGAGACAGGGTCTCACTGTAACTCAGTGATCCTCCTGCTTTGGCCTTGGGAGAACTAGGATTATAGGATGTACCACCAAACCCAGCCTTCATTTTCAAAATTGTGGCAATCATCATCTATTCCTGGAAAGGATTTTCCTTTTGCATCAGTAGTCTCTTTCCTCAGTGTAATCATGTATATCTGTACATAATTAGCATATCTGTCTCTACCAGATTTCCTTAAGAATAGATCTTTGTCATGTTTTCCCAGTATCCAGTATATAAATGCCTTTTTAAAACCATTAATATTAGTTTTTTCATTCCAATCAGGATGTCTTTTCTATCCTTTGGCTTTCTAGTCTCTCCCTCTCGTGTAAAGAAAATAATAGTCTCAGGAGGCTGAGGCAGGAGGATCTTTGTGAGTTCGAGACCAGCCTGGGCTACAAAGTGAGCTCAAGGCCAGCCTGAACTGCATAGGCGAGACCCTGTCTCAAAAGAGACAAAAAAAAAAGTCCTAAATAAGTGTGGTAAAACAATGAACAAATATCAAGAGCTGTAGATATAAGGCAGTCAAATAATTTGCCCAAGTACTCAAGAGCTAGATTAGTGTGTGTGTGAGTGTTCGCACATATCTAACGCTAGTAAATACATTCCGACCAAGTTTAGATTGGTATAGATCAAGGATCACGAATTTTTAGAAGCTGTAGGAAGGTGAAGAGCACAGGGCTGGTTCACGAACAGGCCAGAAAACCACAGTTTTTTAAAAAACAAACAAAAAAGCCTCTGTAGGCCTCGTGTTACCAACTAGAGATTTTCATTAACAACTATTTATAGGACTTGGATTTAAACCCAAGTCTACCTCACTCGAAAGCTCATTTCCACAACACATTACCACGCAAAAAACAAAACAACTAAACTATGTATCTGCAGTGCCGCTGCTGCTGCTCAGTGATAAAGCAGGTACCTAGCATGTGCAAGACCCGAAGGTTCAATATCTAGCATGAAAGAGAGGGGGAAAAAGTGGAATTTACAGACTAAGGCCATATAATTATAAAGAGCAGGGCAGGGGAATGAGGAAGGTGGTTTGCACCTCAGTGGTAAAGTGCCTAGTGTACACCAAGCCTGATCCCCAATAAGGGGTGGGCGCGCGGGGGCGGGGGGTAAATGCCTTAAATAAACTGGCTTTCCAACGGCCTAACAATCCTAACGTTAAAAAAGGATGAAGTGTGTCAAGGTTCCCGGTCCCTTTCCTTAAGCAGACTTTTCTCCCTCGCACCAGACTAGAAATGCTCTCAGGGCAGGAGTGAGGAAAGGAAACAGTCCCACAAGTGCGACCCCACTGCTCCACTGTCTTCGCGAAACACCGGCCATGTCTGTAACCCAAATCACACCAGGCGCCCTAACCGCCGCCTCACATTTTCATGGTGCCCTTAGGACCCAAGTTGGTCCTCAGCACATCCTGCAGCCCTCGGGCGGCACATATGTTCACAGCCAAGGCCGCCTGGGCTCGGGCCACCTCAGACTTGGAGTTCAACACCTTGATCGCAGCCATCGCTTAACGGTTGCGGCGCAAGCGGACTCCGTAACAGTTTTGTAAAGGAAACCCTGGAGCCACGCCCCACCCTCCGGAATTTTAGCCAATCGGCGCCAAGACTGGAAGTGACGCCATCATGCCTCGCCCGAACTGAAACCAGAATCACATCAGGTCTGGTCGCAAAGATGGCGTCCTCCACCTCCGCTCAGACTCCGGCCGGGAAGAGAGTGGTGAATCAGGAAGAACTGAGACGGTTGATGAAGGAGAAGCAGCGTCTGAGCACTAACCGCAAGAAGATAGAATCTCCGTTTGCTAAATACAACCGTTTGGGGCAGCTGAGTTGTGCCCTTTGTAACACCCCGGTCAAGAGCGAGCTTCTGTGGCAGACTCATGTCCTGGGAAAGCAGCACCGAGAGAAAGTAGCTGAACTGAAAGGCGCCAAAGGTGTCACCCCGGGTCCATCTGCCAGCGCAGCGCTTCAGTCTGCCAAAAGGAAAGCACCAGATACTGATAATCCAGATGCCAAGAGAGGCAAGGTTCCTCAGGTACAGCCTTCCACATCATCCCCCAACTTCGATAAAACGGGAAAAGATTCAGCTAGAGCGACCCCCAATAAGCTTTCTGGGCTTGGCTTACTCCCCGATTATGAAGACGAGGAAGAAGAAGAGGAGGAGGGAGAAGGAAAACTGGGGGGCGGCAGCAAGCAGCTGACGGACCCGCTGAGCAAAGAACACTCACTTTCCTCCTCGCGGGACGCAACAAGTAGTGTGCTGCCAAACGATTCCTTCAATACAAATCCTCCCAAGGCTCCCCTGATTCCTCACTCAGGGTCAATTGAGAAAGCAGAAATACATGAAAAAGTGGTGGAAAGGAGAGAAAACACTGCAGAAGCATTACCGGAAGGATTTTTTGACGACCCTGAGGTAGACGCAAAGGTACGAAAGGTTGATGCCCCGAAGGATCAGATGGACAAAGAGTGGGACGAATTTCAAAAAGCCATGAGGCAGGTCAGTACTATTTCCGAAGCTATAGTTGCTGAAGAGGATGAGGAGGGCCGGTTGGACCGCCAGATTGGGGAGATTGATGAGCAAATAGAGTGTTACCGTCGGGTAGAAAAGCTGCGGAATCGCCAGGATGAAATAAAAAATAAGCTTAAAGAGGTGCTGACCATAAAGGAACTGCAAAAAAAGGAAGAGGAGAATGCTGACAGCGATGATGAGGGAGAACTACAAGACTTGTTATCTCAGGATTGGAGGGTGAAAGGAGCTTTATTGTAAGATTTTAAAGACCCAGACTTTCTAACAGCTTCTGTCGTGTAATAAGTGCTGTCTCAGTTACTCCAGGCCTAAAGATTTGGGTACCTAACTGTGTTCTTTGTGGTAAAAATGAGCTAGTGAGCAATGGCACTTTGAAAATTGATGTAAAATATTTTTGAAAAAAAGTTGTTTTTTCGAAATTTTTGAAGTGTTATATAACGCCAACTTTTCACACATTTACATGCTTAACTGAGTTGTAAAATCTGTTAAATTGTAAATATTGTACATAGTTAAATATATATTTACTTAAGTAATTCTGTTTTGAGATTTATACATTAATAGATTAGCAGAGTTTAGATGGAATACTCTGCTGTGTGGGGTTTTATATATTGTTTGATCTCTAAGTCAAACTCAAAGCACTGTTAGGGTTTTCTTTTCTTCGTTTTTCATCTTAGGATAGAATACTACTCATAATCACACAGGTTAATCAGTTCTCTGAGTATTCTTTCAAACACTTGCTTTAGAAGAACATTCAGCAAAATACATGCTAAACATGTACAACCTCTTTAAAGTTTCTCTTGATTGGCCCAGTGATTGTCTGATACGTAGGTGTACAAGAAATATACCTGTGGAACTTTAAAATCATGTGCATGAATCACCTATGAAGCTTTTTAAAAAATTCAGTGCCTGACACATAACCTTAGAGTCAGTAAAATTAGGATGGGGTCTAGGAAGCTACATTCATGAACACTCCAGATTATTTTAATTTCTGACAAATTTGGAGAGCAGCTGCTCTAAATTCAGGGCCCAATTATATACTGTATTTTCAGGCTTTGCTTTTATTTTTTGAAATAACACATTTCATAAATTTGCTGTTTCTTGAATGAAAGAAATACTACATTTCATTTCTACCTCATCTCGTCTAAAACTCGTGATAAATTAGGGTTTGTGTTTGTAAGTTCTGTAAGTATAAAGAGGGTAGTTTTTCCTAGCAGTAACAATTGCACTATCATTGATATTTTAAAACACTCTTCCCTTTGGATATTGAAGTATTCAAACAGAAAAGGGAACTAGTAATGTTCTAGAGACAGAAATGCACACCACATATTCAAATAAATATAAGCAACAACATTAATAGCTAAGATTTATATATTTCTTAGTGTGGGTAAGCAAGATTCTAAGTGCTTTAAGTATTGATACTATTTAATTTCACTAAAGCTCAGATTTTATGGAAGTGAATGCCAAGAAATAAGGTATAAAAAGTCTTTAAAGAATTCTTCCTATAGGCAAGAATGTAAACAAATAGAAGTTTTTTAAGTAATTATATGTGCTTAAAATACCGGGTATGAATTAGTAGCAGTGTACAGTATAAAATGGTAAGAAGAAAACTAGGAAGACTACTTGGAAGCTGTATCTTCAAAAGAAAGGTAACTAGGCCAGAGATACAGCTCAGTGGCATAAGCACTTGCCTGGTAAATGCAAGGTCCTGAGTTCAAGTCCCAGTATTAAAAGCAAGGTAACTAAGACATTAATATGGAAAAAAATAATAAAACGATTTCACAAAAAGAGCTAATGGGGGCCAGGTATTTAGCTCAGCAGTTTAATTGCCTGCCTGGCAAGTGTGAGATCATGAGTTCAATCCCCGGTACCAAAAAAAGAAAAGAAAAAAGAGCTAATGGTTTAGTGACTGCAAGTGAAAGAAAAATAGGGAAAGAGATTCAGGGGATTGTTTTAGTGTGGATGCCTAGAAGACATTGGCTAATACTGTACTTACTGGGAAGTTGCCATATGCCACAAATTTAGTATTGTTGCCTTTGATACGGAGTGGCAGCCAGGCCTAGTGGCACACGACTATAATCCCAACACTTGGGAGGTTTAGGCAGGAAAATCCTTTAGAGTTTAACACCAGCCTAGGTTACAAAGTGAGCTCAAGGCCAGCCTGAACTGTGTAGTTAGAACCTGTGTCAAAAAGACCAAAAAAGAAAAAAGTGTTTTTGAGCTGCTAGATAAGTTATTAATAACAATTTCATTTTGATGACAAGGTACACCTGCCTCTAAACTGAGTCCACTTAGGTTTTCTTTTCTTTTTCTTTTTAAGACAGGCTCTCACTGTGTAAGTCAGGCTAGCTTTTGAACTCACTAGGCTGGCCTCAAACTTGCAAAAATCCTCCTGCCTCAGTCTCCCAGGTGCATGTGCCACCATGCTCAGCCATACTTATTTTCTGTCAAATCACTTTATTATTTCAGCACATGACAGTATAGCAATTTCCTCACTTAGGAATATTTGAGTTGTAATTTTTAACAATATTTGAGTTGTGTTGTATAGGATTCCTTTTGTTGGATTAGGAATGAATCTGACTTAACATTCTTTCAGGACAGAACTCATTTGTGAGCTGGGGACTTACAAAGATGGGTCTGGCTAATGATTTTGAAGAACACTATGAAAAACATACAAAGGTATGTAGCTCAGTGGTAGATATTTATTTAGAATGTGCAAGGCTCTGGGTTCAATCCCCTGTACTGCAAAAATACAGCCAAAAAAATAATACAGGCTATATATATTTTAAATATTAAGTATTAAAAAATAAACAGGAGACTGAGGCAGGAGGATTGTTTGTTTGTTTTTTTAACCTTTTAACTTTTTATCGGTACCAGGGATCAAACTCAACGACTGCCTGCTTGCCTCTGAGCTAAAATCCCCAGCCCCAGTGAGATTAGTTTTAATGTTCTTGTTTAGTATGTCCAAAATGTTAACAGTTCAATTTGTAATATTTAGATTAGTTTTTTTTTAAGTGGTCTCACTATATTCCAGGCTGGCCTCAAACTTGAAATCCTGCTGCTTCAGCCTTCCAAAACGTTAGGATTATAAGCACACACCACCACAGCCTGTGCTACATTTTACTTTTTGTGTTACATTTTAGAAATCTGGGTGTATCTTAACACATTATGTTTAGGTAGTCACATTGGAGAAATAGGTATATGTGCTTAGTGGCTACCACAAAAAGAGCACATCCCTAAAGAGAAATCTGTTGATACAACATGTTCAGAGGGTAGTGAGCAGACCAATTTAACTGGAGCACAGGCTTTATTCCTGGCAATGGTGGGAATCAGGATTGGAAAGGTAGATAATGAACACTGTGGAGGACGTCGAATGTTACGCTATAAGCAGTCTGAACTTTCTGCAAGTTAACATTTAATCCTTGAACACAGCATTTTATCCTTAATTGCAACACAGCTGAAGAACTTTAGAAGTGTCAGGTATGTGTGTGTGTTACTATGCTTTTTGGAGGTCCTCTGGCTTTCAATGTACTGTATCCCAGTATTCAGTGTATTGTTGAATTCAAGATCAATGTAAACAGCTACTATAGTTAAAGGCTCCTTCCTGATCCACACATACTGGAAAGATCTTTGAACTAAAACAGGTTTTGGGATTAGGTTGTGAGTGCCGTCAGTGTTCCCAAATTGTAAGAATTGGTCCCAAGGATTCCTTCCAATAACCTCTCATTAGAAAGCTCCCAAATTTAACATCACAATATAAAATTATTATTGTTGTTATTGTTATTATTTTGGTACTAGGGATTGAACTCAGGACCTTGTACGTACCAGGCAAACACTTGAGTCTCTGAGCTAAATCCCCAGCCCGATATAAAATTATTGTAAACGCTATCAAGATATGTTCTTACCCACTTACCAATTTAAAACATTTTCTTGGAAGAAAAATTGCTGCTCTGATTAGCCTTCATGTGTATACCTTCCCAGTGCCTTATAATTTACAAAGTGCTTTCACACCTATATGTTAACGATGGAAGAAATGACTGCGTTTTTATATACCAGGGATTAAGAGACGATGTGAAATTAAAGTTGCAGGAAAAAAAATACAATTTCAGTCTAAAAGCTGTAACAATCATTTGACTCATGGAGCAATAATGGGAAGAACAAGGGAATTGGTAAAAGAAAGCCTGAGTTCAAATTCCTCCTCTACCTTTCTTTCTTATTTAATTTATTTATTTATTTGAGACAGTTTCACTATGCAGTTCAGGCTGGCCTTGAACTCACTTGGTAGCCCAGGCTGGATTTTAACCCATAGAGATCCTCTTGCCTCAGTCTCCAAATGCTGGGATTACAGGTGTGCACCACCACTCCCAGCTCTAAATGAAGACTGATTGATTGATACTGGGAATTGAACTCAGGAGCTCACACTTGCCAGGCAGTTGCTGTGCTGCTGAGCTATATCCCGAGCCTCCTCCTCTACATTTTAATGATTAATGATCCTGAGCAAGTTATCTTTCTGAAACTTGGTTCTTCACTATAAAATAAAGTATATAGCTGGGGGTGATGACACATTTATCCTCGCTACTCAAAAGCATCAAGTTTAAAATGAGTCTGAGCAATTTAATAAAACTGTTTCAAAACAAAAAATTAAGACCTGGGGATGTGGCTTCATAGCAGAAATGCAAGGCCTTGGGTTCAATATCATGTATACAATCAGTGAGATATGGAGTCATTCTGATGGCCATAGAATGGAAAATCTTAATGAAAATGTTGTTTCCTGTCAATGCTAGCTACTCAACAGATGTGTAAAGGGATTTAAGAAAATATGTTGGTAGGAATGATGGCCAGATAACCTTAGGTTGCTAGTTAATACTAATTATCAATTTATTTGTATGATATGGGGAATGTAGAAGATTTAAATTTGAACAGGAAAAAAATCCCCAAATGCACTGCCTTCATTTTCTATCTGTGTTTCCGCCCTCACTGACTTCATCCATTTCCATTAAGTTTATTTTTTTTTATTTAAGAGGAAAAAGAGAAAAACACAAAACAAAACAAAGCAGTGTAAGGTTACACATAATACAGAACTACAAAAAAAAAAACATAACAGTAAGAAATCACCTGTTAATAGATTACATATTATCATCTTGGAAATAGTTGCTCAAATCACAGTATCAAATACAAAGTAGACATTCAAACAGAGAGACTGCAAACAGCTGTGTTCAATGATCCAAAAACATTAATATAGTCAGCTATTTAACACCCCTAAACACACTTACTGTTATATCCGTTAGAGCTCTTTTTTTTTTCCTCCCTCTCTTTTTTACAACAAAATTTACACATTTTGGATTTTATTACTCCTTAGTTCTTATTACTTTTTTGGCGGGGGAGAGAATAAAGTCAAATATGGCAAAACAAAGCTGTAAGTCAAAACCAAGGATAGACATAGCACATGATGTAGAACAGAGTACAAGGTTATTAACAATGGTTATCAACATTGTCTCTTGTTTCCTTAAGAGGAATATCACCTATTCACTGATGA